CAGCAGAACTATAGTAGGCTTTCATCGTCTCTGTAAGGAAATTGTCTTCATTATCTGATGTCAAATCAAAAACAGAGGAAATAGAGTAAATAAGGGACTCAACATTTTTGAAGCACTGAACATGTCTGGAAGCCTCTACAGCTGATATAAAAGCTGCTGTTTTGCTCCTGCTGCAGGTGGTCGGCAGGGAAAGATGCCAGTAACGGCACTGGAGGCTTTCGACCTGGAGATGAAGAGCTGGACCCGGTTCCCCTGCATCCCCAGTCGGAGGGCTTTCTCCTGCTGCGCCGGGAATGAGAGAAGCCTGTTCAGCCTGGGTGGGCTCCAGCAGCCGGGGCCTCACAATTTCTACTCCCGACCTCACTTTGTGAGCACCATGGAGGAGTTTGATCTGGATCAAGGTATGGGATGTTGCAGTAAGGAATCATGACTATTCTTTTTATCTGGTTTTATGGCTGTATTAAGTCCCTGTTCTACTGCCTAAATATATCAGATAGTTTTGACTGACATTGTCTTCTGAAATCTATCATCTCATATTATTAGGATCTGTTTTTTTATTTAATCTAATCAAACCTAACTTCTATCTCTTTGGATGCTAATAGTATTAATGGTTAAACTGTATTTCTGTTTAATTGGATCTGAATTGCCCATTTATTTGAAGTATTTGTTAGAAGTTGATGCTGGATGAGTTAACTAAACTAAGTCGCTCATGCTGCTATGCAGCATTATGTTCTGTTCATTACGTTCCTTGGCTGAGAATCTCCATAAGTAGTGGAAACCACGATCACAGTCTGGTCTTTTTCTTCTTTGTGTCTAGTGGAGCCTCTAACGGTGTGACTTCCTGAGCAGAAAATCCGTGTTCTGTTATAAAGAGCAACACTGCTTGCTTGACCAATGAATTTCAAGGTGGCAGCCACTAGTCTGGTGCAATTTTTTTATTTTACATGTTGACCCCGTCTTTGAGAGTGAGACTGCCATTACTACACTGCTCCATGTTAATCACACAGCATTACTCGTTATCAGTGATGGGACTAACGGCGTAGAAAGTAACGGCGTTAGTAACGAGTTATCAAAATTATTACTCTTACTGTAACTATAACACAGTTACAATTGCTGACACCCCATTACTGCATGTTACTCAGGTCGCACAATTAACCTTTTTCCATGATAGCAGTCATGCGCACCTTGTCATGAGAGAGGGGAGGATGGAGAGTGAGGAGGACTCCAGCGGCAAAACAGTGTTTTCCCGCTGGAAATACCGGTGTTACGTCAAATGTTAGCCTATATGGAGAAAGGGAAAAAATCTGGATGGATAGATAGATAGCTATCTGACGGGGTTTAGAAGCCCGTCAGATAGCGTTCCCCCCGATGTCATTTACGTTGAGTTACAATAAATGCCAAACTCTCTGCAGGTTCTTGTCTTTGTCGTCCGCTCTATTCAGCTGGCTTTTGAAACACACGGCGAGAAGGTGGGGGCCGGATGGTGAGGGTGAGAAACGCAAAAGTAATGCAATTGTTACTTTTTCTAATAACTAGTTACTTTTACTGTGGAGTAACTCAGTTACTTTTTGGGAGAAGTAACTAGTAACTATAACTAATTACTTTTTCAAAGTAACGTGTCCAATACTGGTCATTATCCAAACAGAGAAGTTAATGTGCCCAATTTCCTCTATGTTGTTCTAGCTACCTTACCGTATATGGAGCACATGTGAAGCTGCACGGTGGTACAGTGTGTAAAACTTTAGCTTTCTGGAAAGAAGGTCTTTGGTTTGATTCCTGGTCTCGGGTCCTAAATGCACACTCAAGATTTTCCCTGTGTAACATGATTGTTAGATGAAATGATGACTCTAATCTGCTCTTAGTTGTTTTTGTGTGCATAACTGTGTGCCTCTGTGATGGTAATCTGTCAGGAATGACACCCCCCCCCTGTTGCCCATACTGCTGGGGATAGGCTGTATGTTAAATAAAAAAAAAGATAAGAAATCAAGGCTAGTGATTCCATAAAGCTGATTGCTGTGATGTTTCAGTTTACATGCAGTTCTTTCTAAGCCATTGGTCTGTTTTACAAAGCAGGTTTAATGAAAGTTTTTTAAACCTGAAATCAGGGAAATTCAGATTTTTCTGTTTCAAGAATACAGTTTCCAGAAACCTCTGTTTCTGTTGCCATAGTAACATTCTCCCAGAGCTAATCTGGTCAGCAGAAGGTTTTCCTCCATAAACTCAGTGTCCTCTGGCTCCGCCCTCCTTAAAGCCAATCATGTTATTTTATTTCCTGATTCATTCAGCAGAGTTTGTGTGAACAACTCTAGGTGTTAAAAAACAAACAGTACATCCTTTGGATGTGGATCCAATAAAGGAATGAGCACCATTAATTCACAATAAAATATTCATCGAGAGCTGGTTCACAGACCACGTATAAATGTCGTATATATTTAGAAAGTTCTCTTTATGAGCGCTACTTTCACCCCACAGTCCATCACGAACATGCAGACCTAATCCGGCCTCCCATTAGCAGCATTAAATAGCCTTCTTAAAAAGGGATTTAACAGAATTGATATCAGCGAGAAAACAATGACGTGTGATAACATCATTATACAAAACAACCTCACAGTCAGTCTGTAATGGAAGACAGGATCAACAATAGGAGGAACCCATGAGACGATGAACAGGTATCTGTTAGAACAATGATTTTAGACTTCCATCTTTACCTGCTGCCATGTGATTGCCCCTAAATAAATAGTGAACTAAATGACCAAAAATGCCTTCTTTACTCTTTCACATAACCCAAACTATTCATATAAATGTTTTTTAATGATCATTTTATTGGATGAACATAAATGGATTTAGCATTATTACACAATTTGAAACTGAAAAATAAGTTTTACGCCAGAATCTCCTGGTTTTAACAGCATGTACTTTCATGATTTTCTTAAGAGATCTGACCCACATGCAATAAACCACTCAGAGAACCAGGATAAAAGTCTGAACAGGTTTATTGATGAAACCAGCAGGGTTGGATTCAGGAAACGCAGTGAACTGGTGAACCGGAACTGGAAGAGGGAAAGGGACGTATCAGTGGTTAGTTCAGGATCCGTGGGAACTTTGAACGATGACTTGGAGAGACAGAGAAAACGGGACTCACGTTAGTGAGACTCGTTGGAGGGCAGACAGGTATAGATTTGGTTAGAACCAGAGGAGCTATTGAGCGGACTGTCACTTGGGAATCCAGAAGGACTTGAACGGAACTTGTGGAGGTTAATCCCCTGCTCAGTGTGAGACTCAAACAATCCTTCCAGGGGGAGAAGGCCAAACATCCAACTTGCAGTAAGGCTTCCTGCCGAAAAGGGAAGGACAAAAAACTAGGTTGGGCTCAGCGAAAAATAAAGACT